CGATGTATATCCTTATCTTATAAATCTTTGCTAATATCTAATATAATGTGTTCTATGTCAAGGTTTTTCAAAATAAACAAAGACAAAATAAACTTACTTGACTTTTTCCTTTATTTCTGGGTCTTCACCCCAAGCACCTAACAGTGAACTATGATTGCTTTCAGTGTCGTATTCATCATTCTCGCTGTCACTTTTCTCAACATTCTCACTTTCATCTTTATCATCATCATCGTCATCCTCCTCATCTGCTAAATTATCATTTTCATCTTCTTCATCCTCATCATCAGTAGTATCTTGCCGAGGATCCCTTCTAGTGTTGCCAGACAACTAAGACAAAATAACAACATTTTTATTTTACAAGTGTGCTTATACAGAACCCTTCCATGTTCAGAAAAATTGTTAATTAGGTATGAGTTACAATTATTTCAACATTTCCTAAAAGTAAAAGTTAACTATCTTACTGCAAATCCTTCATTCTGATCTCTAGCCTGACTTGATAGGAATCCAGATCTCTGTAGCCCTCTGAAATAAGAAAACACAAACACGAGATGAGAAAACCACATGGAATGTAGTACCGTATAATCATTTTGCAATAACTGTGGGTGCAACATCTCTGAATATTAGCCATTTGCCTCTCTAGTTTGCAGCATCAATCCTAATATTGCTAAAACATTTCCAAATATTGATATTTAATTTAGAGTTTCCCGTGTGATAGGTTCGCTCCCATTACACACAATGGGATATACCTTCCCATAATGCATTGCAAATTTGCAGGAACATGCCCAGTAGTGCAAAATTTAAATTTAAACTCAAAGTGCATGTGCCTTAAGGTCATATTTGTAATACCTAAGATTCCTCATGAGTATTGGATCTTCATAGTCAGCCATAGATGAAGTCTCTTCATAATTCTCATTGGGGTTAGTTTCTGTGTGTATGAATTCATTTCCATTCTGGTAGTACTGAACAAGATCTCTAAGATGATTTAGTCTGTCTCTCACCTCGCGTAGCTTTCTAAAAAAAAAAAAAGAAAAAAAAAGAAAAACATATTTATCACTACTTATTATTTCAATATCCAAAATCTAAACTCATTTAGAGTCTTTCCAGTAAACTTGTTTTTAAAGCAAACAAAAAAGCCTACACCAAAGTATAACCACAATATGATATAGGGATCAAAATTCAAGTCCCTACTGAAATGCCTAAAGCACACTTCAAGTAGTTCAAAGCATTCTCAGAAGTTTTTACCTTGAAATACGGTGCCCTCATAATAACAAAGTTTGAGTCCTGTGATAACAATTTTATTACAGCTTTATTAATCTCAGATAGACTGTAAAATTAAACTTACTCTAACTTTTCTTTAGCATCTAAAGCATCAAGCAGTTCTTGTGTTGCATCATGTGGAGTTTGATTGGCTGATGCTGTAGCTTGTATAGATTCATTAATTCGTAGCTGAGATGAACTGCCGCTGGCTGCTGAATCGGCATCTGCAATGTAAAGAATCATTTACATATACTTTTACAAGATTTGTATTGATTCAATGGTTCCTGGAGGTAGCTCCACGCATACTTTATAATATGTACATCGTGCTATGTGAGTTTTTGCATTGACATGTCTTGGCAAGCAGCATTTTATTTCTTTTATTTTATTTTTTGAATTTTCCTATTTCTAGGAGAATGAATGAGGCATTTCACACAGCAGTTGTACTGTATATGGGGAGAAACTGGGCACACTCCCCCACCCTCAGGAGCATAATGAGCATGAGGTGTGTGCAGATTTCGAGAGATTTTTAGTCTCGTCATTTTGGGATTTTGAATTCTTATTTGGACCTGAACAGCTTTCAGCATAGCTTTTTGAGAATTAGCATCTTAATAATAATGCACACATGCAATAAGATCAATGTTTAAATTACAAAACCATAAACAATGGAAGTTTGAGCAACAGGTGACAAGCATGCCTCTACCCTGAAACATAACTGACTGGTTCTAACCACAACTCACCCAAATTATTGATCTGTTGAGCTCGCAAACCTTGAAGATGCTGGAGTAAATCGTCCATCTGTTGCTTCTTATCTTGTAAAGAGTGGAGCTTATCTTGCAACTCAAGGCGTTCTGAGGCCATAGCTTGCAGTGTATCCTGCAATGGAATGCACAACCACATGTTTAGTTAACTCACAAAGAAGGAAGGGTTTTGCATTATTTGTAATTGGTTAGCGATGTGGGCAATCTCCACTGAAAGTAAAAGATGCTGAGTACTGTACACATGTCAAGCATATTGACAAAAATATATCTATGTATTAAGGCCTGGGTAAAGTAACAGAATTAAAAGTATCAAGTACATGCGAATACAAAGCATTTACGATTGACCATAACATTTTACCAGCATACATACTACTTAGGTTACTTCACTAAAAAAATAGCATGTGAAATAAATTATTGTTACAGTACCTCCACATGGACTTCTCTTTCCCTTCTATCCTCCTCTCGAGCTCTCATCAGTTCAGCGGCTCTCATTTCTCGATCCTCTGCCAGCAGCTGCAGCAGGTTTAATCTTCGCCGTTCAGCGTCCAAGTCCAGACCTGGTTCTGGCAAAGATGATTCGGACTGATCTGTAGTAGTAGTGCCAGTGGTTGTAAAATCAGTGGTGGAAGCTTGTGATGCTGTTTATGATAGATACAGAGCTGAATTTTAGCACCCATGATGCAAGCAAGCATACCGAGCAAAGAGATTTAACTTCATACAAGTATCATAGGCAATTGCCACGATGCCCTAAGAGTATACCTTAGTGCCCTTCAAAAAATACAGATACTATTCCTATAAGCTGAGCCAATTTCTGCCTTGAAAATGGGAGCCCCCTGAACTCAAAGTTCTAGCCCTAAAATCTTAAAGGGGAACCGCTCAATCCCATGGATTGCACCAAAGAATCATGGGACACTATTGTTTATGTTGTTTACAATGTTAATCTATCTTTTGTTATCCATTGTTATTTTAATCCAGAAAGTAAATTTGTTGTGAAATTAATCTTAACTGGAAGGTGCCCCTTTAAGTTATTTACTGAGAACAATTTCTAACAATGAAGATAATAATGAGCTGGTTTCACCACTCTAAATAATTATCCCAATCGAAATACATGTAAATTGTTGGAAAAAAAAATACATTTCAATATCAGACAAGGCGTTAAGCCTGGCTGATCAAAAGTTACTAGTAATATTTCTATTTTTAAACACCCTCGAAGATGAGGGCACACTTCACTAACCGAAACATTGTCAAACCATTAAGCTAGAAACATTAACATGTTTCTGAAAAACTTCACTCAAGCTAGTTCACTGTCTATTTTTGAACACAAAATAAAATAATACAAGTTTTTTTTTTTTTTTCAAAAGCAGAAAGACAAACTCTTATTCAGAGGGATGACAGAAAATGACAGGTGTTATGATGCTTGTTAATATAAATCAGGAAAAGCTGGCGAGTACATGCAACAAGAAGAGATGATGAGATTTTGAACAGCAATGTGCAAGAATGGCGATTAACGCAGTGCCAGCTAGAAATGAAATATTGCTTCGCAGCAACCTGATGCTTGAATGAAGGTAAAACAAATCAACACTGGAGAACTATAGTAACAAAGTT